TTTCCAAGACAACAGAGAGACAAACTGTCTTCTCAGTTCTGGTACTTGACCCTCATCTAGCAGTTACTCAAGTAGCTGTTACAGGGGAAAAGGCATTCTTGAAGCATGCTGGGGTGCTTAAGGTCCACCATACCTCTAAACTGTGTGAGCCTTTGGAGCTTGCTAAAGCTGGAACTAGCAGAAACTGTCTTGCCATGTTTGACACTATCTCAATCCAGTCCTTGTGAAATTGGACTTTCTTTTTCTCAGGACTTTATCTGGACAAAACTGACAAGTGCTGACTACCCTTTGTTACTGAAATAACCACCAGTCCTGACTCAAACAAAATCTCTGCCCTAAAATGGTGTAAAGCATGAGTGGGAGGGAAGGAGAGAGAGGGTGCTACTGCTACAGCTCTTTAGAGGAAAATTCACCAGTAGCATTTCCAACAGTAGGGCTGTAAATAATGCCTATGTAAAATTCACTTGCTGTAAAAGGATGCTTGTGATCGTGTTTTGTTCCATGTAACTAATTTAGTACATTGAGACTTGTCATACTACTACTCCAGTCTTGGGCAATAGCACTGTGCACTAGCCCTGAAAGTTGCCAAATTTAATAATTTACAGCAAGAAGAGGAGATCAAGATGGTGAACTTCTGGAGGGCTCAGATTGCATCCTGGAGCTGACTTGAATGTGCACTGGTAACCTGTGTGAACTACATACTTGGCTGCTCTCAGTTAAAAGGCCAGAGGAATTCTTCACCCTCACATACTTAAGGATATTTTGACACAAATTAAAAGTTTTTGGGTTCCAGTTAAGATTATTTTTTTTTCCCTACTGTCTTTTTTTTGCACACCCTTAAGAAAATAACAGGCATTTTTTATTTTTTAGTGCAGTTCTTTCTCTTCCCGTTTGAAATAGTATTTTGTTTATGCTATATGAGGACAAATATATCAAAAGGTCTTCCAGATACATCATTTCTGTTACGTGCAACTTTACTTGCATGAAGAATGCTGCTAATGGTTTGGGGAGTTTTCATGGTCGCTTTTGTAAGTGGATGCTTTCTTTTTGCTCCAAGGCCCTCTAAAGAAATTGCAGGGCTTAAATAACACCATCTTATTCACAAAAAGCAATGCCATAAATAGATCCTATTTCAGTGTTGCCTTCTGGTTTAAATTGTGTTGCAGTACTACTTGTAAAAATTTAATTCCGCTGCAACCTGTGACTTGATAGCAGAATTAGCTGCTAGGTAAGCCATTCAGTTAATTACTGAAACTGTGATCTCAAGCAGGAGAGCCAAGAAGGAACGCAAGATGAGTGGAAATATTTTAATTAATGAACAAAAATTTACTGACTGGTCAAGAAAAGGGATAAGTTTTGAAGGACAAATGGAGGCAGTACATTTTTAATTCCAAGAATAGGTTACCTCTGGCAAACCCTATTACTCTGCTGTTGTAGAGGGTGTAGTCAGGCAATTCCTTAAGATGGATTGAAGCTCTGTATACACACTTTATTCAGAGCTTAAGTCTTCTGAATTAATTTTATTTTACTTCAGGTCCTGAGTATAATCCAAAATCCTTACAAGGAAAGGTCTTCTAGAGGAATTTGTTTTCCTCCCTATACCTTCCCTCATCTCAGTGGGATTAACTGTAACTGTCACAAATGGTTTGTGAATTGGCTTTTAAAAATGAGCCATAGAACCTGTGCTCCCTGCAGCAACCATTTTCCCTCCAGGGAACACTTGTGCTCTAGACAGTAGATGCTAAAGTTCTTGGTCCTGCTGCCCATTTGAGCCCTCAAATGCCTGTTTGTCCCACCCTCCCTGCTACTCTAGGGACCTGGTGTGATCATTTACTCTACAAGACCATCATGTCTTCATCATCTGGAGCTCTGTATCGCTATATGAGTCCCAGTTGTTTTTGGTTTTTTTCTGTGCCCACATTCACGGCTTAGGTGGGACACGTGGTGCCCTTGTCCAGCTGTGCTGCCTTACCCCTGCCCTTCCACAGCAACAGTCCTCAGCAGCCACCTCCTCAGCTGTGGTGAGGACTGATAACCATTAGCTCTCAGTAAAACCATAATAGAAAAAACACATTCTATTCTCTGATTTATGATTTGCCAGTACTCAGACTCATTGAAGTGTTTCTGATCTCACCTCCCTCTTCCTCTCTCTCCCACTTATACATAAATATGGAAACAAGATTTTGAAGCTATAGGATTTGTGTGTGTGACCTTTGAAGGCTTTCTAGAAATGCTTGTTTCTGCTTAAAGTGTGTGCACTTCCCTGACAGATTGAGGCTTGCTTCATGTGCATCAGTTAAAATAAATATAGCATAACTGGAAAATAGCATAAATTATGACTGAAATAGCTGTAACAGGAAATTGAAATTGTTTTTTTATATAATACATAGTCACAGTAACCACCACTACTTTGACAAAATTTGACACTTGCCCTTTTCTCAGAAAACATTAGGATACTCCTTTATGCACTGATTTAAGCATTTGTTTTTCATCTTACAAAAATACGCAGTATAATTCTTATTCCTAAACTGATGATATATAAACTTGTGGCCTGTGTCAAGCCGTTTTTGGCTAGGAATTAAGCTAGTTTGAAAAGCACAAAAATACATTCCTCAATTGCTCTTAAGAATTACATAAAGCTGTTCTTATTCCATTAGTTATAGAATTTAAAAATAAATAAATAATGAGGTTTCTGTTACAAGTTTAGCTGATTTAGTGAAGAAAGCAAACATAATTGATGTTTGAGTAATGGAAACAATCAACATGCAGCCAGATCCTTAAAATGAATGTTTTATAGAAAGGTGCAACATAGCTGGGAGAAACATAATCTGTGGGAAAAAGCATTATTAGGGCAGCATTGTTTTTATGTTGCTCCAGGTTTATAGACAGTAAAAATGTCACCTGCTGTTTCCCATAAGCAAGATGATGCCTTGATGACAGTGGATACACAAGAATCTGGAAATGTTGATTGAATTCAGAGCTTCAGCAGTTCCTGGTAACCAACGTGTTCCGGAGTTGATTTAGATTTCAGAGAACTGTTATTACATCTGATTATTTTTTTCTTTCCAATTCATAATAGGCTTTATTGTGGGTGGAATGTAAATACCTGGTTTCTGAAAAATCGCTAGCACATATGTAGTCTTCTTTTGCTAACAAGAGATGATCCTTAAAAAGCAGAATGAAGACAGAAATAACTTGTACAACCACCAAGCATTAGTCACACGTAGCTCTTATATAATGTTTACGTATTCAGTCAGCGTGCTGGCAGCTGGGCTTCTTTGTAATATTTATTTGAGGAAGTATCTGTCTCATTTGGCAGAGGAAGAAAATGAAGCCAAGAGTTAAGGGATGTGCTGGGGGGCTCACAGCACTTAGCTGGTGAGAGTACTGCAGCTAAGAAGTGTCCATCATCATACATCAAACAAAGCCAACACAGAGTGTGGAGGTCTGTAGCAGTGTCTCCTTGTGTGCTTTTCCCACTCAAGCTCTGGTCTTTTGCATAGACTATTATTGAAGCAAAGCGAGTTAACACTGCAGCATTTGTTGTAGTTTCCCCTTTTGTTTGTTGTTCTAGGTGTGGAGGCGTATTTTCTCTTCATTATTATGCCTTGATAAAAAAGACAAAAACACAAAGCTTGAATTATTGGAAGTGACTTTTTGACAGTTAAAAATTGAAATCTAGTATGCTTAGCCTTGCTAGAGCTCTTACTCTAGCACCAACAGGAGCTCTTGTATGTGGAGGTTTTCCTTTGTGGAATTGCCCACTCCACTGTGACTGTGCAATGTTTGAAAATGGGTGGGATTTTCTGGGAGATAAGCCACTAGTGTATGGGAATTTCTTTGTAATGGTCAGTAATCATTCTGGCTGCTTTCTTTTGCCTTGGTTCTGTTAGTTCTTACATATTGAATGTTTGTTCCCAACTGAACCGCAAGACTATTAAATGGAGTTGGAAGCACTCTCTGATCTCATTCTGAAAGTTTCTTTCTTGAGGCTGAAACAAATTGCATTATAATCAAATTTTAATCTTACTAAGTACAAGACATGAGAGAGCTTCAAGAGAACTTTTTTTTATTCTTAGGTTATTTTTGTGTTTATAGACAGTGAACTGTATTGTAGCTTATCTTGTCCATAACCATGTGTTGTTTCCAGTTCTTACTTTTTTTGGAATTACGCATAAGAAATAGTTCTGCTTTCTTTGGTTGGTATTCTAAGATGAAATATTGGAGGGAAAATTGTTAATGTCCCTAGAGAATATTCAGGACTTTGTGTGATTTTACATAATTTCTAGAATAAAGAAGTCAAGCCAAAATACAGCCATTCTTTAAGGGGGAAAAAATACGTTGCTATTAAATGTACTATAAAATTCCTTTAAAATTATAGCAGAAGTAATACCTTAAAAAATTATTTACGTAATTTTTTTTATAGAAGCCTAGAATCGACATGAATGGTCCAGGGGAAGTAGAGATAATTATTTGTAAGTAATGAAGGTTGCATGCACCTAGCCATCTGGTAGCAATTTTAAAACAGAAGCAATTAATTTGTTTTACTTCATGCAATGTAATTAAGAAACTTTTTGCCACAGGGTTTACAGAGGCCGACATTGTAACTGGGGTCAGAATAGAATTCAGTGAGTTCATGGTAGGTAGATTCATTAAAGGATGCTAAACAATCTGGATGCAATTCTGGCATAAGTAACCCCATTTTTTTTGAGGATTTCTGGAAAGATCTATTTCTTTCAATTTTTTTTTTTTTAACAGCATTTCTCTGTTTCAAGGTACATTTACGTTTTCTTACAGACTTGAAAATGTTTGTAGTTTCATGTATGTGGAGTAAATGCTTAGTGACCATTAAAGTTCTTTGTAAGCATTGAGTGCACCTGCCCTTACTCTCTGGGGTCACATACACTGATATGTAGAAAATTATTTCTCAGAATGATCTGATCATGCGCGATTAATAATATACCTACTCTTTGTTTGCTTTAGGATGCCAGGGATTGTTTGACCAGTCTTCACACAATGCAAGTTCAAAAGTAAAAGAAAGAAAACTACAAGGGACTTGTCCTCCTGTTGGTCATGGTAACTATGGAAAAACATGTTTGAGTGAAAGCAGCCACAGGTCCCCATTTTTTAATCCCCGTAATGGTTTTCACACAATACATTCAGAGCACAGTCCTGTGAAGCCAAGGATTATTACAGTGGTGAAACCCGGTGGACACACTCTCAGAAGGATAACTTTGCTTCTCAACAGGAGATCAGTCCAGACCTTTGAACAGCTGGTAGCTGACATTTCAGAAGCTCTGGGATTTCCACGCTGGAAGAATGACCGTGTGAGAAAGCTTTACAATCTGCGAGGCCGAGAAATCCGAAGCATTTCTGACTTCTTCAGGGAAGGTGATGCATTCATAGCTATGGGGAAGGAGCCCCTCACTTTGAAGAACCTGGAAGTAGTATTACAAGAACTTTATCCAGAAAATCCTTATGCTGCCAGTGCTGCCATTCAGAAGAATGAGGAACAGTCCCAAAAACTGAAGAGCAGGCTGTATGACACGGCTTTGAAAGTGGACAGTGGCTTTGATGAGACAGAAATTGCCAAAAACTGCAGCGATGGCTGCAAACTAGTGGCTGGACATGAAGTAAAAAGTCAAGCCAAGGCAAAGCAAGAGGAAAAAATGAGAACAAAAAAAAAGTGGACTAGAGGGAGCTGGAGTGGTGAACAAGGAGTGAAGCCTTCTAGAAAAACCCAAGAAAGCGAGAGGTATCTGAACCATGAGAGAAGTCTTGAGAAGGAATTAGAAGAGAGTTCAGAGGAGGTGGTGAGGTGTGAGAAATGTGAACAGGAGAGGCAGGCCAGACAGAAGTTACAAAGGGAAAGACAGGCTGAGACCTCATTTGAGAACAGAGACCTGAACACAGGCGCATGTCAGAGGTACCATGTAGAAAGGAATGCAAAAATCAGGAACTGCCGAAAACCTTCAGAAACTTGTCTGGAAGGTAGGGAAGTTGGTTGGAAGGATAATGGCTGTAGGAGGATGTGGAAGTCTCTACATAGGAATGTTAATGAAGGTCTGGAGAAGCAAAAAAGGAGCACTGAGAAGGAAAGGGATGTGGAGAAACATGAAAACCATGGTAAGGAAGTAGTAAAAATCAAGAAGAATGCTGTAGAAGGGCTGCAGCTAACTCATGAAATGAAGGAAGAGAAAGGAAGTACCTGCATAATGAACCAAAGTGGTTGGCTAAAGAAAGACACTCTGAGGGATGCTGAGAAACCAGTAAAAACACATAGAGAGGGACAAAGGGCTAAAGAGGAGGGTGCCAGAAGAGACGGGAATATCACGTGTAGAGAGAGTGATGTGATACGAAGAGAAAAAACAGGGGAGCGGAGAGTCAATAAAGAAGATAACAAGGCGCAGGGATTGGAAAGCACAAGCCGGAGGTATGCCATTAAAAACAGAACTGATGTGGAAAAGCACTATGAGATTGGCAGAACTATTGGGGATGGGAATTTTGCAGTGGTGAAGGAATGTCGCCACTGTGACTCCAAGCAGATCTATGCCATGAAAATTGTTGATAAATCCAAGCTGAAGGGGAAAGAGGACATGATGGAAAGCGAAATACTGATCATTAGGAGTCTCTCTCATCCCAATATAGTAAGCTTAATTGAAGTGTATGAGACAGAAGCTGAGATCTACCTAATCCTGGAGTATGTTCCAGGAGGGGACTTATTTGATGCAATCATAGAAAGTGTGAAGTTCACAGAGCATGATGCTGCTGTTATGATCACCGACCTGTGTGAAGCACTGGTTTATATTCACAGCAAGAACATTGTCCACAGGGACCTCAAACCAGAGAATCTTCTGGTAAGTGTTGGCAAATGTTGTATTTATGCAGGAGGTGAATATGTTTCCCCTATGGTTATGTATCTTTGAATGTTTTTAAGCAAATACCATACAGAGATAATGTGCTGTGGCAAGACTGTTTGGAAAAATGGGTACAGTCTTGAAGTGAAGTTACCATTACAGTTTATTTTATGAAGATCTGCTATGCATAGCAGGTAACAGTGCTTGCAGATAGAAATTGAAACAAAAATGACCTGTCTTTCAGGCATAGTGAGCATTTGCATTTTCTGGAAATCAGACCTGTTACTTAACATCTCACTTTTAGGTATGCAAGGATGATTTTTTTTTTTTTTGCGTTGAACAGGTACTGAATCATAAGGGATCTTCCTTGCAGAGCAAAATCTATTAAAATTGTTAATTTAGATTAATTGTTTGGTGGACCTTTTATGCACTGCAGTCACACGTCCTGCAGGATGCTGTGCCAATTTGCTACTTTGGCGATTTCTATCTTGTGACAATTTATTTTCTTAGGAGCACAGTATGATGCAGGTGATAGAAATAATCCACCAGAAAATGTGAGTGTTTTGGTGAAATACAATAAGTACTAAAATCAGCTCAGATACTAACTTTATGCCAAAGAGAAGAGTTCTTTTTTTCAACACATTTCTTGGGCTACATTCTTTGCATTCGGTGCTGAAGTTGATAGTTACATGTGTGAATATAAATAGAAAAGTTTGCTGTGTTGACGCTTGAGAAGAGACCCATTGTAGAACAGTAACAGTAAGCAACTCTTACTTGCTAATTGTGTTACACACTAGTACTAGGGTTCCAAATTTCCTGACAGATGCCAAATATTCGCCAGTGTCTAACAAATCACGTTTGAGCTGCTGGTGGAAGGACATAGTTAGCAAGAAAAAGGTAGTAAGAGATTTAGTCCCCTGTCCTGTTCAGTTTTTCACAGGAATCAATTTTGGAAAGAAGTAAATATGAATTTCTGGAGAAAAGCAGCAGTGCAGCCTGTATGACATGCAGAGGGTGACCAAGGTTGGACCTGAAAGTTTTGCTTCCAAACCTTTCGACTTACCAATGCCATCTGTAGTAGGTTCTGCTATGTATCCTACTTAGGTTGATGAAAATCCTTGGTGTATGGTCTGTGTTTAAATAAAAAACAGTGAGTGCAGGGGGCTGGTTTGCAAGAAGTATCCATCTGGGCCCCACCTTTTTTGGGGCCTTTGCCATTAGAACAAAACCTCCCTTTGAACTGCAGGGCTTTCTTCTGGAGGCTGATTTTCCATTATGAGCCAGGCTCTGCTCCTTCTTATTTGCTGAAAAGAAGCTAGTGCATGTGAAACACCTGTGACTTGATGCTTCATTTCTCTCTATAATATGTAGTCATCACAATGATGCTGCTAAGCAAAGAGGTGTGATACAGGTTGGTTCTGGTTGTTTTCACATTGAGTTAATTTAGTTCATGTTACCCAAACACTATGGCATAGAATTTTACCTGTTCCCGTTTCACCTTGCTGCTAATTGGCCATGAACACCTGTATTAATATCATTTACATAAACCATTCTTTTGAAAATTTAGTCTGTTCAACAAGCCAAATGAGTTTATAACTCTTGGTAGTGTTGGAGATCTTGTGTGCTAACTTAGAAACATCCCTATAAATTCAGGATATTTGAGCAGGTTTCTGGCTTTTCTGACTTTTTAACTGCTGCTTCTGACTCCTCAGAGTGGGCAGTAGCAGCAGAGTAGGAATGAGAGATGCCATTGATCTTGACAACAGCCAGTGCTGAACAATAATAAACAGTACTGAAGCAAATCTCATGGGTTCATCTGCTGATGGTGGCTCAGGGGCTGAGGACAGCCTTCTGGAGAGGAAGGGTAGTGCTGGAAATGCTGGCATCCTACAGGGATGTCCTTGGTTGTGGGATACCTTTTGCTTCAGATTCCTACATTGCTGGTGTTAAAATCTGAATTTGTCTCCGTAGACTTTCTTTGTACACAAAGAGAAATAGGTACATACTTTTGGTCAGGTGAATCCTGTCCTTTCTTGTCAGCTGTTTTTCCATACTTACTAACCTTTTCCAGCAAATGGGGAATGAAAGAGGAAAGATCCTTAGTCTGTTTTACTAAGGAAATGTATTTGTTTACTGTAAACATGCTTTGTGTGAGAATCTAACCCTGCTCCTAGTGACTTTTGAACCTACTGGCTAATGTCCATCAGAGCTGACAGAAAAGCAGCTAAGTGGGGAAAAGCTATTTCCGTAAGTTTATTTAAAATAAGCAGCTGTTGAAAGAAGGGAAAACGTTTCTGTCCCTGCAGAGGACAAAAAGTGGAAATGCTCTTGGATGTCTAGTGAATTGCAAAATTACTGACCCAGGGAAGATTTGGAAACCTGGTTTAATTTTTAGTTCACAGCAGTACAGTTTCTCTGTGGAACTGTCCCTCTAGTTATAAACTTCTATAACACTCCATCATCTTTCTTGTTTTCCCTCTCCCCCTTTCACTGCCATCTGCCCACAATGGTCAGGCTCCTTGCAGCATAGCTGTGAGGCAGAAGGGCTGTGACTTGTGCTACAAAACTAAAATCTGTTTCACAGCTGATGTGAGGATAGCTGCTCTGACTACCCCCCGGGGGCCCCTACTAACAGAATCACCTCATTTGGGACTAGGTTTTCAGTAAGAAAACCTTTTCTGCCAAGGATGAGCAATGTGGTGTGTTTAGTCCCACGAAAGAAGCCAGTCACTTCTATAATGCTGCCTGGAGGAGAAGAATTTGTTGTTGAAGTTTATAGCTAAAGGATTGTTTAATTCTACTGATGCTAGCATTTCTTGACTTGGCTGAGAAATTAATTGTGAAGTGTAGTGATATTTTCCCAGATTATAGCTGTAAAAGACACAAAGTCACCTCCTTGCCCGCTTTTAGGAGGGAGGTTGTATTTGTGACTATGTCCTCATCTCCTTGTGTACTTCCCAAACATACTAATGTGGTAATTGTTCAACACTGAGCTTCATAAATAATGTATTACAGCTTTTTATGCATTTGAGCTTTTTTCTTCCCCCCCCCCTTTTTTTTTTCTCTCTCTAAAATCTTCTTATATATATCTGGGAACTTCGATTATGGCCTTTCTGTCCTTTAACTTTGCTTTTGTGACACTATTTACATACACACAAAGCAATATTTACATATACACAAAGCACTGTCAGATGTTTCCCTGTGCATTTGAGTTAAAATTCTGTTTAACCAGTTACTTGTCAAGAGCTTTCAGTGTGATAAACCTACATAGGGAATTTTCTGTAAGATTTTTCTCAGATTCTTCTAGTTAGCAGCAATGGGTATCTCAAACTCAAATGCATAATCAGAGCTTTTTTTTTTTTTTTTGGCTCTACCTATTTCTAATATATAAAACATCCCATGAGCTAGCTTGCTTTTGTGATGTATAGAAGAAGAATCTGGGCTATGGACATATGTCCATACAGAGAAATATTAATGCTGTTAATCATCGTTCTAAACACCCTAATGGGTTTCTGAAGGTAGATAGGAAAACAAACAGGAGCATGAAGAGCTGGGAGTCATCAGCAGGCAGGAGAAAAAGAAAGATCAATTTATGCCTTCTTTGGAGATGAACGTGGCTTTGTATTAGTGTATTATAATGTTGTAGGTGCATGGCTGTGATAGGTAGAAATCCTCAATCAATATTCTAATATCTTGCTCTGTTATCTGCATTTAAGAGTGTAGTGAGCAGTTCTGACTGTCTTTAGTCCAAGCCTACCAGGACATAAGTAACTGCATGGCCTGAAGTGGCTGTCTTTCTTACAGAAAGTGAACTGAACACTAATCTCCACTATCTCAGTTAACTCTACAGGCAAGTAAGATGAGGCAGCACTTTTAAATGGACTTTTGGAACCATTTTTTGTAGTCTTGAATACAGAAGCAGGAGTAGCTGTCTTTCAGGTGTCATAGTTAAGGCTAGTAGGTTCATTTAATGTTACCATTTTGGCTTTGTCATCACTGTTGCTCAGAGCACATACTGTAGATGACAGAGGCTAGATTTCTCTTGGGTAGGTTGTACATTTCTGTGATACTGCTATGAGTAATTAGTTGCCCAAAAGACAATTGGAAGGAATTTTGGGCAATTCCTTCATTCCTCATGAAGGAATAAAATCAACCTGAGAAGCTTTTGTTTCTACAGCGAAACATATTTACATGTGGAAGGTGATTTCAAGTGATGGAAATGTAGGCTGGAGAGTACAAAGTTGGGGGTGAAGGGAATGCTCACTCTGTCCAAGCTGACTTTCTGTTGTTCTGACCGTAGTGTTAGTGAAGATGCTGAGGAGTTCTGGACTGAGGTTTTCAGGCATGCTGGCAGGTTACCTGCTGTCTTTGAAATTATTGTCACAAAGCTGTGAAAATATACCCACGGTGCATGCTGTTCTTACCTGTTTGGTTCTTAAGTAAAATGAAAGCTCAGTGGTTTTGTCCTGAAAGAACAGATGGCACAGTGTTGCCACCTTGTGCTATGATGAGGGATTAGGAGTCTGGCATCCTGATAGAATAAAGTACAACAGTGTGTTTTGCAAAGCGAGACGTTTCCTGATGATTTTGGGACAGGGATTAAGACCAGTGCGTTCTCCACCATCCTCACCCCTTTGCTGTTTTTTAAAAATGTATATAAACATTTCAGTATTATTTGTCTTACTACATTAGCATGCAGGGTGTTAGTTGAAATTCCACGACATAATTTTATTATAATTTAAAAAACTTTATTTATACAACAGGAAATTAGATTTATGCTTTTATTTTCATGTAACATATAACAGCAAGCATTTCAATTGTGAGGTTTTGCAGCATTCAAAATACCCATAGCATTCTTCTTGGCTTTCCAAGGGAAAAAGAGGAGTTTACTTTCCCAAAATAAAATAATAACATTTAATTGACTCTTGGTTATTTTTTGTATTTCTCCTCTTCATTTCTTGGAAATAACAGCATGGCAGAGTTTGTAGAACAGTGTCTTCTTTTTTATTGCTTGTCCTCTTAAGTATTTGCACCTTCTTAGTATATGGTGGGAAAAAACACTTTTTGAATACAGTTTGTCAAAATACTGTTTCCATTTCATGTTGGTTTACTCGAAGGTGCTATTATTAGAACTTCTTCCTGTTTATTATTAACTACTTCCTTTATCTTTTGCTGTATTAAAATGCATCGAGACTAAGTGTATTTATTTTTCATTAAATATAGGTTCAGCATAATGCAGATAAATCTACTACTTTGAAACTAGCAGATTTTGGCCTTGCAAAGCAGGTTACGAAACCCATATTTACTGTGTGTGGAACACCAACATATGTTGCCCCTGAGATACTTGCTGAGAAGGGTGAGTGCACATATTTATAATTTGTCATAAATCATGCAGTTAGTCTGAACTTTCTAATTGTGGAAATAATCCAGAATGTTTCAACCTACTGATATGTCTTTGTAGGGTAGGAGGCTGGCTAGCAGTGTAATCCATGAAATGAAACATTTTGGTTTTCAATAAACACAAACATGACATCAGTCATGTTTGCATTATTGATGTCTGTGGTAATCTAACACTGATTTCCAAGCAGACAAGCCATAATATACCTTAGGTGGTAATTGCTGAAGTGGGGAAATGAACAAAAGTTCATGGTGCAACCTGAGGGTTGCAATCAATAGAAATTTTGGAGATTTCGTATCCAAAAGTATTCAGACCTGAAAAGGAGTCAGTTTTGTTGATGATTCAAGCAAAGCTATTTCTGGTTTTTGTTCTGTGAGAGCCGGGATGCACATCTCCGCTTATATCCAGTTTCAATGGAAACTTGGCACTCAGTGCTTTTTTGAAGGGAATCTGAAGAGGACTATTTTAGAAATCTATGCTGTGTTTTCTCAATTAGTCTCTAATTGACACTGGTCTAGTGAGACACTGTTTATGAAACATGTTGAAGCAGAGAGGCACTTTGTGAGAGCTGTAGCTATTAACAGGCAGAACAGCTCAGCTTGTATGCATGGTGTACCAGCCACTTATTCTTCTGTTGACTTCATGTGTTTGAGAAACTGAGCAGAGCTTCTGTATTTCTTGAAAAACAGTGTGAAAAAGAAACAGCTACTTACCAGTTGTGAATTTTCCTTCTAAAACAGGACTTTTGGTTTGTCTTTTCTTCCTTAGGCTATGGGCTTGAAGTAGATATGTGGGCAGCTGGTGTGATCCTTTACATTCTGCTCTGCGGTTTTCCCCCTTTTCGCAGTCAGGACCGTGATCAGGAAGAGCTGTTTAAGATCATACAGCTGGGTCACTATGAATTCCTTTCCCCATACTGGGACAATATTTCTGCAGGTAAGATTTAGCAAGTATAGCAGATCTGAGACATGACAGACTTGTTCCCTGGAATAGGAAAAACTTGCTTTTTTCAGGACAGTGAGCTCAATGAATTTGGCAGTGTCTTACAGGTCTCTTTTGTGTCATTCTCTGTTTGTTTTGAATGTGAATTTAGTCCCCGGGTAGTATCAATGGCTGTGAATCCAAATATTAGGTCTGATTGATTTAATGTATTACTCCTTTTCTGAGGCAAGGATTTTCCTCACCTTGCTTATATGAATTGTCTTTGTGGAAAACTGTACCAAAATAATTCCAGGGTTACATTAGATTTTAAAGATGCATGCAAAAATGTCAAAAGCTGAGAATGAAATCCTACCTCTGCAGAATGCAGTGTCAGTTTTCTGTTGAGAACAATAGGGCACATGTTATTTTTTTGTTTTGTTTTGTTCTTGCAGGCTAGCATAGCGACTTCTGTGCACTTTCCAAACTCAGAAACCCTAAAACCCTTCTCTCCCTACTGTCTTTTAAGGAACATGCTCAACAGCATTCTACAACTTTTATGCTCCTTGAGGGATGAGATACCCAATTCAGATTCTTAATTCGATCCTAATAAGCCAAGCATGCTTTCAAGATGACATTCCCTTCACTTTCTTTCTGAAGGGAAGAATGATATCAGTAAAAGATATGCTGGAGATTAAACATCTCCTGTCACTAGGTCTAAAGCCAGCTGTTAGAATATCTCCTTGGGCCATAGCCACAGAAGTCATTATGGTAGAACTAGTCAGAAAAAATAAGAAGGACCTTTTGTGTAGGTATAACTGTCAGCATCATCACAGCGCTGATCTTTTCCCCTCTCTCTTTTCTTCAATAATAGCAGCAAAAGACCTCATAACCAGGCTGTTGATAGTGGATCCCCAGAAGCGCTACACAGCACGACAAGTACTTCAGCACCCTTGGATCAGAACAGCTGGAAAAACTAACAGCAGAAATTTACAGAGGGAAGTGACAATAAATATCGAACGTCATTTCCGGGCCCAGCGCCGGAAGGAAGTTGCAGTTGAGGACACATGAAATCTCTTCAAGATTAGACTTCTTTTAGTCTGGGATTAGACTTCTTTTTATGTGATTAATAAATTATTTATCTTTTCTTTTTTGAATTAATGGAGCCTTAGTGTATAGCTGTTGCTGGGCATGGCCATGACTATTTTTGATTCTGAGATTCTGAAGGACAGAGATGAAATTTGCATCCACTTCCCTCTGATGTTACCTGGAAGTCTCTCTGTTGACAGCATTGGGGACTAGGTATTTCCTGGGTGGTATCTGTTACTTTTCTTTAAATACTGATTTGGACTTTTACATTACCAGATGTATATCTTTCAGACAACAAATGTTTATTTCTGTGTAAGGACTGTGAAATGCTTTCTGTTGTCTCTTTTTGTATGATACCTTCCAGGAATTTTGTGTTTAGAATGTTTTCAAAATAGCTGTCTCTGTACATATCCTGCACTAATTTTCTAAACTGCCTTCTAACCATTTCTTGCTAGCAATGGAGAAGGTGAAGGAATTAGAAAAAAATAAACAAAAAAAGCACATTTTTTAGTTGTAGGATGTGTTAAATAAGCAGGAAGATGCTATTATTGAGTTGCTAGGGAAGAAAAATCCTTATAGACTAAATCAGATATTTCATTATATTTCCCTTGGCAACATCTTTCAGTGGATGTTCTCAGGGCAATAAGTTGTATAATGTTTCTGTTAAACTATGTAGTGCTATGCAGTATGGTGGTTCCATTTGAGAAGTGGAAGATATCATGGCTGATGCCTTTTCAAGACTGTAATTATAACTTTCAAAGTGGTTTTCTTCCTACTTGGGGAAGTAGGAAGTTAAGCAATTGTAAGGGAACAATTTCTTCTCTTCTCCTTCTCTTCTCCTTCTCTTCTTCTCTTCTCTTCTCTTCTCTTCTCTTCTCTTCTCTTCTCTTCTCTTCTCTTCTCTTCTCTTCTCTTCTCTTCTCTTCTCTTCTCTTCTCTTCTCTTCTCTTCTCTTCTCTTCTCTTCTCTTCTCTTCTCTTCTCTTCTCTTCTCTTCTCTTCTTTCTTTTATTTTCTTTTTCCTTCTCTTTTCTTTTTTCTTCTTCTCTTTTATTTTCTTTTTTCCCAAAGTCACATCTATGGAATGATAACCCAAGCTTTATTCGTACTGCTTTTTTTTCCTTAGGGGCCTTCCATGTGGATCTGTGACTCTTCATGCTAATGGAGAAGAGAAAGCTGGGAAGCTGCTTTTGTGTCTTAAGTTAACCCTTACCTTCATGGTTACCTTTTCATCAACACATTTCAGAGAATAATTGCTTTTATATGCTTTTTCAGTGTAGTTTAGCAAGTTTTTTATTTTGTTTTTCTTTTTTCCTGTTTCCGCTCTGTGGGAACTTTTTTTCTCCTTGTTTCCACGAGACTGGGCAATGGGATGAAATTGCATTAAAATTCAGCTGGGAGGAAAACAACAACTAGTTGACTCTGGAAAAGTCTCCCAGGGGAAGTGTCAGATGCTTCATTGCAGATGTTTTTAATAATTTGATTGGATGCAGTTTAAAAGAAATCCTGAGGGAAAAAACCCAGCCTTGAGAAGGGCCATGACCTAGAGCAGCTTTTGAATCTCAGAATTTTTGGTTAACTAATCAAATACAAAAAGCACTTGAGTTCTTTGTTTTATAATGCTTTGTTGGCAAGTTTCATGTGCTAGCAAATAATACGGACATTAAAATATCAGTGGTATTAGCATTGAATTCATAGCTTCTAGAAATGAATGAGGGTATTTTACAATTGCAGAGCTGCTGCTCTGCCTATGCATTTCTTAATGAGAAGTGTCAGAAGCACTTTAGAAGCAGTAGAGCATTTTCATAACTATATGAACCATAATGTTATTTTTGGTCACTGCTAATATTTTGAGTGAACTTTCTGAATTACCAAAAAGTGTGGGGCACTGTCCTTATGTTTCTATTTCAGCTTCTGACAGTTTTGCTGCAAGAATGATGTAAGAAAGTAGACACGACTTGGCACTTACAGGAGAGTTGCAGTTTTGATGGAACTGGCTTTTTTTTAAGTACATATAGGGATATGACTTGCTGTGGAATTCAAGCATTTGTGAAACACAGCAGCCAAATCTTAAATTGTATGTCCAAGTAGTATCTATATAATATGTAATACCTCTGCTTTAGAGGTTCTGGGTCAGGAAGGCTTTCCGTTTTCCTGAAAAAAAGAATGGACTTAAGTGCTTTCCTGAGTTAAAGCTTTGTGTAACCTCTTATTCTAAATGCATTATGTGGTCTTTGAGTACGAGTAATAACTAATATTCTCTTAATTTAAGCAATTTTGGATAGGAAACTGTGGAAAAATAGGTTCTGATTCGCAATATTACATTTTGTAATTACCTTATTTTTAATATAGTCATTTAGGAATAAAGTTTGCAGTGACAAGAAGTATTTTATCAGAGATGAATTGGACAGTTTAAAGACTGTGTGAAGAGTTGCCTTTTTCACCTTTAAGAACCTGGTTACAGCCTTACTCAGAGTGAAGAAGGTAGAGAATTTTCTTGTAATTAATATAAAAGTAATATTTTTTTTTTTTCCAATGTGTTTTCCTCTCAGGTTCTCTTGGTTCCAGACAGACTAAAGGTGGACTGTGCTGTGTGTTGTCATCACTTTGCATCTGTCAGTGCAGACACTGTTGTGGCAGCGCTGAGGGACTATTATTTTGGCTTTACAACAAATGTGGCATTAGGTCCTCCTTCAGGTTGGAGGCTGGAAAAGCTTCCAGGTGCTTCTCAGGGTTTTCACCTCTTTCCTCCTTTTCTGCCATTGCTTCCAGTGTTGTTGCTCTGCCTCTGAGCTACTGTAAGAAGTTCAGGTCTCCAGCCTTCATGGTTTAAGTTGCTTGAACCAATGAGAACACATGATTTTGGTGAGCTCAGCCTCAAGTGTTGCTAGCTGATGTTGGAAGTTAATGAGAGTAAATAGAACTCAGACAAAAAAACCCCAGTGAAAATCCCTTACTGGTTTTAAGGCTATTCAAGGTCCCCTCATCACCTACTGCCTTTTCTCAAGCTTTTCTCTTCCCACTTATGCTGCCTTCACCAGCTTTGCTGCCCTTGTCTGGACTTGTTACAGAATCTCAGTGTCCTTGTTGTAGTGAGAGGCCCAAAACAGCACACTGTACTCGAGGTGTGGCCTCACCAGTGCTGAGTGCAGGGAGACAATTACATCACTTGTCCTGCTGGCCACACTATTTCTGATACAAGTCAGGATGCCCTTGGACCTCTTGGCCACCTGGGCAAACTTCTGACCCATATTCAGCTGGCTGTCGACCAACACTCCCAGGTCCTTTTCCTCTGGACAGCTTTCCAGCCACTCTTCCCCAAGCCTGTAGAATTGCATGGGGTTGTTGTGACCTGATTACAGGACACATGACACTGAGCCTTGGTACATTTCATACCGTTTGTTGTGCTTATTAACTGCTCTTCCAAAGACATCAGTCTGAAATCTTCTTCCTATCATTTTTTCTGTCACCTAGATTTCTTTTAAATTAAGCAACATATGGAAAATTGTTTTTATGCTTCTGGGCATGCATTCTTGTGTCCTTTCTGAGTCCACCAGTACAATTTTTACTGTTGACATTCTTGCTTCCAAAGGGAATATGGGGACTTCAGCTGTGATTACAGTGTATATTGGCACCGTCTGTTCTACAATGTGGCTCATTTGCAACTGGGTGGAAGGTGTAATTTTCTAAATTAAAATAGCTGGGGTTGGTCAGCCTGGAGAAGAGAAAGCTCTGGGGAAACTTTACAGCAGCCTTCTAGTAACTGAATGGGGGCTACAGGAAAGCCTGGGGAGGGACTTTCTACAAGGGCATGTAGTGATAGGACAAGTGCAATGACTTTAAACTGGAAGAGGGGAGATTTAGATTAGACATTAGGAAGAAATTCTTTAGCGTGAGGGTGGGAAGACACAGGAACAGGTTACCCAGGGAAGTTGTGGATGTCCCCTCCCTGGAAATGTTCAAGGCCAGGTTGGATGGGGCTTTGAGCAACTCAGTTTGGTGGGAGGTGCCCCTGCCAATGGCACGGGGGTTGGAACTAGATGATCTTTAAGGTCCCTTCCCTTCCCTTAAGCCATCCTGTGATTCTGTGACTTCAGTAGAAAAGTGATTGTTCCCCCCTCTCACCCCTGCAGAACTATATTGTAGATATTATATTTCAATATTCTTTCAAATAAATTGGTATTTTATTTTTTTTTCTATTCTAACAATTTACCTATTTGGCAAATGCTCATTTTAAATGGTTTAAATTTCACTAAGCATTGTGTGCACCTCCATTTACGCTTAGAAAGACCTATTCTAGTGCTGCAGTTCTTTGAATACTTACAAATGTTTTTGCTGCTTTATGTTATCCCTTTCAACACCATTATTTGCAAAACTGGAGCTGAGATTCTAATACCATTTTTGTCCCCATACTGCATTAATCATGGTAGCTATGATGTTAGAGCAATCAGGACAAGTAGAGCTGGCTTCACAGAGGCTTAATACACACACAACTGAATCCTCTCATCATTAATTCTTATTCTGTAAAATTTGTTTAGAAAAAGATCTGCTTTGTTTCGGAAACGGGCATAGTTGAAATCGAGTTGATTGCAAAAGTGACTTTTTCAAAGGATATAGTCACTTAGTAGCTTGTGTATATTTCAGTTCTGTTCTTAAAATTGTATTTTCCTGCAGGCCTGCTGGATCAACTGAAGCAGTGGAAATAAAAACGTATCTAATACATTGATGATGTTTTCAAAGAAGCTACTTTCTATGCGTGTGAGCATGTGTGATAAAGTGGCTGCAAGTGAGAATCAGTACAGGCTCTCATTTATTACATACTGGTACTTAAAGAGACTGCAGCCACCTCACTGCTCTTTGAGTAACTGAAGGCTGTTAGGAATGACTGACTTTTATGATGATCACACAAATGTATTGCAGCACATTTTAACAGTATGTACAGGGAGCTAGTTAAATTTAATTTAATGCTTTGCTGTTAGGAGTGGGGTTCA